CAAGGACTGCCGGTATAGTCCATGGCTACCCGAATCACGGTCCGAGTAGGTTTTGCATTGTGCTGATAGGACACTGTTAATTGATTGTTCCACTGGGGTTGATAGACTATAAATATGGCAATAAATACATCGGAATAAGCTAAATAGAGGCACAACATTCAGGTTTAAAGCTGTTGTTTCCAAAATTGCAAGAGACTTCCCAGCATGCATTTGCTAGAACAGAATAATAGAGTTGGAAGGGACACTGAAGGTCTTCTAGTCCAACCCCCTGCTCATGTAGGAAACCCTCTACCATTTCAGACAAGTGGTTGTCCAATCTCATCTTAAAAACTTCCAGTGTTGGAGCATTCACAAAACTTCTGGTGGCCAGCTGTTCCACTGGTTGATTGTCCAAGAAGTTTCTCCTTAATTCCAAGTTGCTTCTCTCCTGGGTTAGTCTCCATCCGTTGCTTCTGTCCTGCCTTCAGGTGGTCTGGAGAACAGGTGTGTCTCTTGAGGGGCTCTGCGACAGCCCTTCAAATATTGGAAGACTGCTCTCATATCACCCCATCGCCTGGACATCCAGTTATGCAGCTACTGTGATACCCTCATAGAAGTTTTACTTATACTTACATAGCCTGCAAATCAGGGTGGATTTGATTTAAATCGAGTTGATTTAAATCACAATTTAAATCATGATTTAAATCACTAGTAAAAAGGCTTGATTTAAATCAACTCAATTTAAATCATGATTTTTAAAGAGCAACTGTCATCTCTGCTACTTCTTTGACCCACTGTTGACTCACCGATAGTCCCCGTGTTGCAGAATATACAGCCTCATGCTACATAACTAAGTTCCATTTCATGCTGAATAAGCTAAATTGTTTATGTATCTTAAATAGAAAACTATCTTACGATAGATTTTTATCCCAAAAGTTTTTTATTAAAATAAATTCAATAAAAATTTTAAAAAATCCAATTTAAATAAAAAAAAATCCAATTTAAATAAAAAAAATCATTGATTTTTATCCACCCTGCTGCAAATATATATTCACTTCTCTTCCGTCATGTTCTCATCATATTCCAAATAATAAAGGCATCAGCCCCTAGTCCTTCTTTTCGTTAAACACTACGTTGTGCCAAGAGAAATTCGCTGTTTGTGAGTGCGAAGAGGCACGTGGATAAAGTCAGCCCAGTTTATTTATTTGGACTTTCAAAGTGGCATTTCCAGCCCTTTTACTCAAGCAGATGTTCTGTTTTATGTGTCTGGCGAAGGCTGATTTGTCGGAGGGAACATGAATGAAAACGAAAGAGGAAGTCGGATTTGTCTTAACTGATATCTATCCTTCTCGTGTTTCTCTAGGCGGCTTAGCAATTCCAGTGAATTTTCCGTCTTCGCTCTTCCTCGCTGAGCAAGGCAAATATTGGCTTTTGTGCTGACACTAACACAACTGATGGGATGGGGTTTTGTTTTTTTTTCAATGCAGCTGAGCCATTTCAGGTTTTTCTAATACGGGAATCGCTTTTAATACAGGGAGCAGTGTTGAGGTGCAGAAAAGAAAGATGAATTTTGAAGATGGGCTGGATGGATCCAGCTGGAAGCTATGGGAGAGAAAAGAAAAAAAAAAACCCACCAGATTCTCCCAGTGGGTCTCTTGGGGAGGGGGGGGTCAAGGATGGGGCTGAATCCCCCTTTCTAAGTCCTTTCCTGGTGACATAACCCAGAGCAGAACTACCTTAAGGGCTCAGCAAAACAGCCCCACTCCAATCGTGGCCCTATTTTGAACAGGGAGCACTTGACTATCATTGAGCTTAAAATTTCCCTTGCTAAAGGAGACATTTCTCAAGTGAGTCTGCCTCATTTTACGACCTTCCTTGCCACGGTTGTTAAGCGGACGGCCGCAATTGTTAAATTGAGGCTGTTAAACGAATCATGAGTCAGAAGGTCCCAAAAGGGGAATCATCTTCTCACCCCAAGACACTGCGACTGTCATAAAAGTGAGTCAGTTGCCAAGTGTCTGGATTCTGATCAACGTTGCTGGGATGCTGCAGCGGTCGTAAGTCTGAAAAATGGTCCTGGGTTCGCTTTTTTCAGCGCTGTTGTAACTTTGGTCACTAAATGAAGCGTTGTAAGTCGGGAATGGCTTCTACTTGGGTGGGTGTGAGCTTTATGACTGTGTCACGTGCCAATTCCACACACACCTCCTCCTCCAAAAAATATTCTCGCCATTCTTAATTTGAAAGCTCCTGTCCTGGTTAACAGTGTCCGCCGTGAGATTGGGGTCAAAAAAGAAAATTTATAACGGAGGCAGAATAATCAGGTCAGGAGAAAAAAAAATTGTTCCTGCCCTGGTTAAAAAAAAAAAAAGTAAAAGAAAGGATTGATCTGGATAACAACTTCCTTTTACTTTTGTTCTTCTCGCTTGTATCTTTGCAAAATAGTTAAGGAGGTCCTCGACTTAACGACCGTTCATTTAGGGACCGTTCAAAGTTACACCACTACTGAAAAAAGTAACTTCGGGCTGATGTTCAAACTTATGACCGTTGCAGCCTCCCCGGGGGTCACACGACCCAAATTCAGATGTTTGGCAGCTGACTCATGTTTACGACGGTTTGTAGCATCCCTGGGGGGGGTCACGTAATCCGCTTTTGCGACCTTCTGAGCAGCAAAGTCAAGGGGGGAACCAGATTCACTTAACAACCGTGTGACTAATTTAACAACTGCAGTGATTCACTTAACAACCATGTGACTAATTTAACAACTGCTATGATTCACTTAGCAAACGTGGCCAGAAAAGTCATGAAATGGGGCAAAACTCGCTTAGCGACACAAATTTTGGGGTCCCTTGTGGCCTTAAGTCAAGGACTATCCTGTATTTGGGTCCAAGAGGCGGCCACCGGACTAAAAAAAGGTATTAAAACAGTCGATCAGATTGAGGGGATATCATTTTATGTACGATGCTTTTTGCCAAGGAGAGATTTCGGCGGGGGAAATCCATCTTGTCAGACAGCGGTTGGTTTCCAATATCCATTTTCGCTCATGCTTAAAATACTTGATGGTTTTTTCCTCGTGAGTTTGCGTCCCGCTAATGAAATGTATTTCCATGCCCCAGCAGGCAAAACAGCAACCCTCGGCTGCAAACATGCCGAGACGCAGAATGAAATAAGTATGATCATAAATAAAATTAATACTTAAATGAGGCCGGGGACGTAATTGTTTTTAAATGGGCCATTTTGTAGCTTTCTTTTTTTTCCTTTTTTCTTTTTTACATTAATGCATGAAAGGCCTTGGACGGATGCTGTGTTCTGGACATTAAATAAAATGTGGTTTTCTTTCCCCTTCTATTAAATTTGCTTTACCTCCTCATTTGATGCACCACCCCTGCTACCTACCCAGTTACCGCTGAGTCTTCTGCAAAATAATACCCATATTTTCTTAATTTTAACTAGAATACAAGCACAGGGAGAGCTCTGTCAGTTCTTGGAACAAGAGCAGGCTTCTGCTTTTGGAGAAATGAAATGAATCTGGTTTTCTTGGAAATACTGCAGAGAATAAATGGCAGGGAAGGGTTTTCAAATTTGCAATTCAGAGAGTCCTTGATTTACAACCGTAATTCAGCCCAGAATTAAAATCAGAAATTGTGCTGGTTGTTAAGCGGCTTGTCCCACGACTGATCCAGTTTTAAGACCGTCGTTAAGCAAAGCCCTTGTCTACAACGGGTGATTTTTGCCAGAAAGCAGGAATAAACACCCACCTTGGCGTAAACGACTTGACCAATTGACCGCCGGCCACTGCAAACCTGTGTAAATGTGGACCAGTGACGAAGGGCGCAAAATGTGATCACGCAACTGCGAGGGATCGGCCGTCAGAATTTCTAAATCTGAGTCATATGTACCTATTTTGGGGCGGTCTTTTGCCATTTCAAATGGTCACTAATGGTGACTGGTCGTAAGTGAAGGACATTCTTACCGGTGTGTACAGTGGTGTACAGGTAATCCTTGGCTAACAACAGTTTATTTAATGGCTGTTTGAAGTTCCAACGGCATTGAAAAAAGTGACTTACGACCATTTTTCAAACTTACGACCTTTGTAGCATCCCCATGGTCACGTGATCAAAATCTGAATGCTTGGCAACTGGCAGGTGTTTATGATGGTTGATTCGCTTTACGACCAGTGACCCACTTTACGGCCGTTGTAAAACCGGTTGCGAAATCGAGTCTGGCCTCCTAACGCCTTGACTTATGACCCCAACGACTTACCATTGAAATTCCAGGCTCCTTTGCGGTCGTACGTCGACGACTATCTTCATATGTATATAAAACCCTTTTTCTATGGGATAGAGCAAAAAAAGAAAAAAAAAAAGCCATTTGAGATGTATTAAACACAGGAAGTTCTCGGCTTACGACTACAATTGAGCCACGAATTCATGTTGCCAAGTGAGACATTTGTTAAATGAGTTTTGCCCCATTTTACGACAGTTCTTGCCACAGTTGTTAAGTGAGACATTGTAGCTGGTAAATTAGTAACCCGGTTGTTAAGTGAATTGGGCTTCCCCGTTGACTTTGCTTGTGAGAAGGTCACAAAAGGGGATCACAGGACCCCGGGACACTGCGACCGTCATACATGTGAGTCGGTTCTCAAGCATCTGAACAAGGGGTGGGTTTTACTTACCTTTACTACTGGTTCATAACGGGGCCGCGCGTGCAAGCGCACTTCTGCACATGCGCCAAAGCTCCCTGATGACATCGAGGTCGGTGGGTGGAGCCTCCCGTCGGTTTTACTACCGGTTCTTGAGAACCGGTCTGAAATGGGGGCAGCCCACCACTGATCTGAATGTAAACCACATGACCACGGGGATGCTCCGATGTTCGTAAGTGTGAAAAATGCTGATCGGTCACTTTTTTCGGCGATGTGGTAACTTCAAACGGTCATTAAGCGAACTGTTGTACGTCGAGGACCGCCTGTAGAGCAATGTTGTCGTGTTCCCCGATTTACAGTCGTGTTTTTGGTTTGATTCTAGGCGATGAAAGCCGGGAGATTAAAAAACAGATCACGGGGATGAGAAGGCTGCTGAACGACAGCGTGGGGCGGATCTATCAGCGAGCTGAAAAAGAAGGAGAAAAATTGAAGGAAGAAGAAGTCCAACAGTTGGAGCTGGCTTGGACTCCGCGTCTGAACCCTCCCGCGGACGCCCCTGGACACCTCCAGCCATTGCCGAGCGGGGCCTGGAACGAATTGTCTGCCCAGACCGGACACTATTCAGTACAGTACGGTACCCGCTCCAAAACCTCCTTCCAGAACCAGGCCAGAACCGTGGGCGCGAACGGTACGATTATAGATCTAAGTTTTCTACCTGTAAACCACCATTGATCGGAGTTTTCATTATGCCGAGTTCCTGGGTCACCAAGGAAGACGAAATCCTTGGTCTGGAGTTGGTAATATGAAAACTCCCAAGCTTTTTTTTTCCCCGTACGTGACATAGTCCTTGAATTATGACCAAAGATTGAGCCCAACATTTCTGTTGTTAAGGGAGGCGTTTGTTAAAGGGCCCGTTTTACGACCTCGCTCGCCACAGTTGTGAAGTGAAGTTGGTACCTGTACAGCTGACTTGTTGACTGGGAGTGGTGCAATGGCCTAGAGGTGGAGCTCTCGTTTCACAATCAGGAGGCTGTGAGTTCGATCCTAGGTAGAGGCAGATATTTCTCTCTCTGGGCACAATGAGAATATATCTACTGAACAAAACTCCACACTGGCAACAAGAAGGGCATCCGGCCATTAAAACACTCTGCGAGTTCCATTCAGTTGCCCAGACTCCACCCCGCGAGGGATTATGGGGTCATTAAATGAAGATGATGATGATGATGATAGCTGACTTGTTGACTGAAACAACCTATGAGGATCAAAGATAGAGGGAATATTATGAGATGCTCCAGGGGGTTGTATGAACCTCATCATGGTGCATTGAAAAGCTGGAGATGATGGCTCTGATGATGCAAGTGGTCCTTCTCTGAACATTAAAAAGTCTTTCTAACTTTGCAAAGTCGCAGCTGCCACTTTGAATTCCACAATCTCCATCCTGGCAGATGCCACTTAAAGGGCCAGGATGGAGTCCAGTTTATATTGGTTTCTCTTTATGACGAGAGAGAGGCCTTACTGTCCTTGCTTCTTGAATTAAATATCTAATTGCATGTATCGGTGCCTTTAAAAAAATTTAATATACAGGGGAACCTCAACGTACAACCCCAATTGAGATCAACTTATGTTGCTAAACGAGACAGCTGTTGAGTTTTGCCCCATTTTACGACTTTTCGGGCCAGAATCGTTTAATGAATCAGTGCCATGAAGTTTGTAAAACGGTTGTTAAGTGAATCATTGAAGTTGTTAAATTAGTCACACGGTTGTTAAGTGAATCTGGTTTCCCTGTTGACTTTGCTGGTCAGAAGGTCGCAAAAGGGGATCACGTGACCCAGGGAGGCTGCAACCGTCATAAACATGAGTCAGTTGCCAAGCATCTGAATTTTTGATCACGTGGCCATGGGGAGGCTGCAACGGTCGTAAGTGTGAAAAATGGTCCTTTTTCCAGTAGCGTTGTAACTTTGGTCGCTAAACGAACCGTTGTAAGTCAAGGACTGCCTGCATTATTTTTATTGTCATAAATGATAAACTAGATACCACAATAACGTGAAGTTGATGTAATGCAGTCTGCTCTAATCTTCCGAAGATTATTATTTTTTTAAAAAAAAAAACAGAGTTCATAAATATGTATGATGTTAACAGAGCCCTGCTTTTGATTTAAAATATTAGCAGTTTTCTTTCCTTATTTTTTTTCTCCTATTTATTGTACATAAAGGAGATTTGCATGAGTAATTTCTGCCGATGCTAATGGGAATGATAATGTAATTCTCCTGTGCCCCACTGGGAAAATGAACGTTTCATTTATGTATTTTTCCTCTTTGGGGGGGGGTGTTTGGAGTTTCACACCCTCATTAGGAATGCATTATATTTGCCGCAGAAAAAATGAAAAAAATTAATTTCAGCGTATTTGGCTTTGTGCAAAGGTGGCCACCGTCCTCATCAGAATATTAAGGAGCAGGAAGGATCAATACAGATAATTTTGGGTTACAATTCTAAGGGGGACCTTGAATTTCTATTGCTAAGTTAAGCAGTTCTTAAGTAAAACGTTGTGTAACTGCACCACTTAGCAACAGCCGTCACAACTGTGGATCAGTAGCAACCGTGCAGTCGTTAAGTGAGGACCTCATAGCAAGAGCACTTAGACTTATACAAGTAGTCCTCCACGTACGACCACGATGGAGCCAGGAATGTCTGTTGCTAAGTGAGAAATGTATTAAGTGAGTTTTGTCCCTTGTTACGAATTCTCTCGCCACGTTTGTTAAATGGATCGCTGCAGTGGATAAGTTAGTAAGACCGCTGTTAAGCGGATCTTGTCTGATGGTCGCAAAAGGGGATCGCGTAACCCTGGGACGCCGCAACCATCATAAATATGAATCAATTGCCAAGCGTCTAATTTTGACATAACGGTCGTTAAGTGTGAAAAATGGTCCTAATTCCCTTTTCTCCGTGCCCTTGTAACTTCGAGTGGTTGCTAAACCAACCGTTGTAACTCGAGAACTGCCTGTATTGTTTATTTGTTTGTTTTATTAGATTTATATACCGCCCTACTCCCGAAGGACTCAGGGCGGTGAACAGGCACAAAATAAAATACATAAATACAAAATTTAAAAGCAGAAATAAAACCAGATTAAACAATTTAGCCCGAGACAAATTTAAAACATCCCAATAATTTAAAAACAGATTTAAAATTTTCAATTTAAAAGTATTATGTCATATTCTCAAAAGCCAGACAAGCGAGGGCTGCTCGCGTAAAGGAGGTGTGGCTGCGACTTCCGTTGTGCTCCCCACAAACTCCGCTCCACAACGCGAAGGCAGCCCGCTGCGTGCTTCCATGGGTCTCCTCTGCGTGTTTACACAATTTGGAGAGGAAGGCAATAAACCCAGGCCTGTCACAGAGTCACGCTGGAAATATTTAATTTCAGGGTTTGGGCTTCCCGGCTGCGAGTAGCGGCAGCTTTCCAGAAGCCCGTGGAGACGTTGCGTAGGGAAAGGAGGGCTAACGGTGTGAATTTCTTCCATTTTTTTCAGGAGAAATCCCAGCGGCCAATGCCGCTGCCTCCTCCTCTTCTTCCGGATCAAACTGTTGCACTTGCAATTGTCAGCCTGCTCTGCAGGCCATTCTTCAGGAGCTGAAGACCATGAGGAAGATCATGCAGATCCAAGCCGGTAGGACAATCGGTTGTTCAAACCAACACACAAACCGTGTGGGATATTTTCAGACCGTCTCTCTCTCTCTCTCTCTCAGTTTACGGGGTTAGCCTCAAAGAAAACGTCTATGGAGATTGTCCCAAAAGTGCCTTTTTTTTCCCCTCAAGAGGCAACTGGACTTTCTTGGTTTTTCTTTGAAGAGGTTTTCCTTCTCATCCGAGAAGCTTCTTCAGTTCTGAGTTGATTTGAACTGAACTGAAGAACTGAGGAAGCTTCTGGGATGAGAAGCAAAACCTCTTCAAGGAAAAACAAAGTCCAGCTGCCTTTTTTGGGGGAAAAAGCACCTCTTTGGGGCCTCAAAGAAAATGCTTATTAAAGAAAAGTAGGGGTGGGGATTTTTTTTTCTTTTTATTGAGCAAGTGTGTTTATCACTGGCAGTCCTCAATTTACGACCACAAATTCTGACCGTTCATCAGTTTTGCTTGCCTTTGGTTCCACAGAAGACATATTGTTTTCCTTAGATCACTTGGCAACTTGGAAGGTATGTTAAGTTGAACTCCCAGAATTCCCCAGCCAGGGGAATTCTGGGAGTTGAAGTCCACAGGTTGACGTCCACAGTTGCCAAGGTTGGACATCCTTATGGACTAGGTTCATCCCAAGTATCAAGCCACAAAGCAGCTCAGCACAATTTGACTTAGAGCAGGGGTGTCCGACTTTGGCAATTTTAGGAGCTGTGGACTTCAACTCCCAGAATTCCCCCAGCTGGGGAATTCTGGGAGTTGAAGTCCACCGATCTTAAAATCGGCAAGGTTGAAAAACATCGCTTTAGATGTTCTTTCGACATCTTTACTTGTGGAGATGCTTGCACAGATCGCTCCCTGTATATCCCCATCCTTGTTTCCTTCCGGAATCTGTGGAACTCGTTGGGTGGAGGTGAGTTTTGAGGGGCTAATGACGGTGCAGAGATGGGAAGCAAAATTTGTCATCTGATAAACTAATTTTACAAGCTTCTAATCTCTTTTTTCTCAGCAGCTGCCCAGAACCGACAACAGCCTCCAGTTCCTCTGGCTACCTTGCAGAAATCCACAGTCTCAAGGAAGAGGAATAAAAAGAAAAAAGCGGCCCCAAAGACTGTTGAACCCCTTACTGTGAAACAGAAATCCGGCGCTGTGGAGAACGACAGAAAGTTACCTGCGAATTCGAACAGGTTGAGCATGGAAGGGGCCGATTCCTCCTTGAAAACGGACCCGCCGGTTTCAGGATTCGGCATCGTGCTCGAATCTTCCTCTTCAGATGTAAGTGGACAAGATGCGATCGATTGCAGGCAATCCTTGACTTACAACGGTCTGTTTAGCGACCGTTCAAAGTTACAATGGCATGGAAAAAGGTGACTTAGGATCATTTTTTTCACACTTACAACTGTAGGAGCCTCCCCCTGCTCACGTGATCAAAATTGGGGCGCTTGTCAACTGATTCATATTTATGACAGTCGCAGTATCCCGGGCTCAGGTGATCCCTTTTTGCGACCTTCTGACGAGCAAATGACAAGGGGGAAGGCAGATTGCACTTGACATCTGTGTTACTAATTTAATAACTGCAGTGATTCACTTAGCAACGGTGGCAAGAAAGCTCGTGAAATGGGGTAAAACTCACTTGACGAATGTTTCACTTAGGAACTTTGGGCTCACTTGTGGTCGTAAGTCGAGGACTATCTGTATTGAAAATGTTCTATTGTTGATTAAAAATCATCATCATCTTCATTATCATCTTCACGACAATTCTGGCCCAGTGTCCTACATTTTCCTAGCAATTCTTAGAATAACGTTACTCCTAAGGGACATTTCATTAATCCATCAGACGGAACATCAAAGCTAATTTTATATATAAAGTTTATTGTCATTGTACGTATATACACAGTCTACCCATACAACGAAATTCACATAACACCCAGAGACCAAGCCCAACACACATAACAATCCCCAAACACACTCCCACCCACCACAAATTCCCCACCCCTAAACCACCCAAACATCCACACAACAGACCAAGTAATGCTGTCCAACAGCTCACGGATGGTGGCCCTTTAGTTCATTGCTGAGTGCAATTATAGCTCTGGGATAAAAACTATTCAGAAGACGTGTGGTCCGAGTTTTAATTGTTCTGTATCTTCTGCCAGAAGGCAACAGTCCAAAAAGATTGTAAGCAGGATGGGAAGAGTCTCTGAGAAGGTTATGCAACTCCCTCAAACAGCGAGATTGGGATGCACTGGGTGACTTTGGGCCAATCACCAGGAGACAGGGAGTTCTAGTTCCGCCTTAGGTGTGGGAGCCAGCTGGGTGACTTTGTAAGTGGAGAACTAGACATAGTTTTGCAAGGGGACTATGAGAGCTGGAAAAAGCGATATTTGATAATTTTTTTCTCTTTGGAATCAGACGTTTGTCAAACAATGGTCTGTGAAGGCAAAAAAACGGCTTCGGAGCTTTTGTTGGAGACGAGGTTGGCAAAGTTCACCGTGGAGGAAGAAGCCGAGCGTTCATTTCTTCAATGGACTTTTTTTTTTTTCATTTCGAGAAGACAGTTTCCAATTTCCTAAGTGTGCCCAGATCACGGAACCTAATTAAATTCGGTATCAGTGATCATAAAAGAAAGGAATTGTGTAGAGGATACAGTGCCTTTCTATGGAGAGGTGTAAACTAATAATGCAAAAGAAGGAGCAGTCTGATAATTCACTTACACGGAGGCCAGCTATGCCTGGTAATCAGATTAGTATCTCATACCCCTAAGATCCGCATCACGGTCCATAGTAAAGGACTTGATGCATTTTTTTTTATTTTTTATTTTTTTTGGTGCTGCTGGTCCTGTAATTAAAATTAAAATGTCTGGAAGGAGGAGGGGATCGGAAACTTCTCCTTTAGTTATACGACTTAGTCTGAATTTTGTTTTAATTTTGGTCTTCGGTTTGATCAGAATTTCGAACAAGCAGGCTCCATTTTTTGAAGCACATTGATGCAAAATTGAAGTCTGGTTGAAATCTTGGTTCTCTTGTGATTTTTTGGATTTTTTAAAAATAAATTTTAATCGGGTATTTATTAAAGCACGGTGTTAAAAATATAATTTGGGCTACAAATGGACATTTCTCAATGAAGATGTCAGAAATGCTGTGATGTTTGTTTTGGTTTAATCTCAAGAATTCAGCCTTATGGGAATTTGAGTCCAGCATCCGATGGACAATTCTCCTTCTAAATATATGTTCTGTTTGTTTCAATGAAAGGCAAATAATATGTCAAACTGGCAAAGAAAATATCTGCTAATCAATTACAACATTTTATAAATGCTTACGGTTAATTCTAATTGGTGGTTTACTCATTTTAGCCCAACGAAGTTGAACAAATATTAGTGTTAATTATGTACACAATTGCCTTGATTATTTTCTGTTATCAAACTCTGTTTAACTGTAAAGCCATACTTGGAGAATGGACGTGAGAAGCTCAATTGGGTACTGATTACTTGCAATTGAGGGATAACTCCCCGCTAAAGGAATCCGGAATAAATCAGCATTTTATTTTATGTGACTGGAATACAAACGGATTCATTTAGGAAACATACACCAAGAAAATTGCAGATCACTTTAATTGGCTCTCTAATTGAAGCCTGATCTTCCTGTGCAGAACCTTGATGATGAAACTTATTTCAATCTTTTTCTAAAATAAGATTTTTGACAGATTGATAGTCCTGCTTTTTTCAGGATAATTGTTGTGGCGATGTGATCGTCTGCTGGTTAGAAACTCTGTTATAGAAGATAATGGGTGCTCGTTATAGAATATTATCCAATTTTATTCTGAATTCTGACACTGCCTTGGAATTCACCAATTACGCTGCTGTTTTTATCCTAGTTTTGGTCTGCCAGGTTGGAGGCCGAAGTGACTAGCCTAATCTCAGATCAAATCTGCAAAATTTACAACTGACGTTTGCCTCGGAGTTAATTGGCTGATTATTAATAGACAGAGAAAGGGACGGTTAACAATCCAGGGCTTTGTGTGAGTCTCTCTCCAGTTAAGTGTGTGTGGTTGTGTCTCATGGGCAAATGGTACTTTTTCTGGAAAGCTGTGACTTCCAAACTTGCCCGTTGTTTGTTTACTGGATAACTGTGTTGTCAACTGAGAAATTCACTTCCAGCCATCACGAATCCCAGCATCTACAGTAAGTAGGGTTTGCAGTAACTGAAGGTCAACTAGTCCTGGTACAGGAAACCCTTGACTTACAATCACAATTGAGCCCAAAATTTCCATTGCTAGGCGAGATATTTCTTAAACTTTGCCCCATTCTACGATCTTTCTTGCCACCGTTGTTAAGCGAATCACTGCAATTGTTAAGTAAGTCATATGGTTGTGAAGCGAATCTGGCTTCCCCCTGGACTTTGCTTGTCAGAAGGGTCGCAAAAGGGGATCACGTGACCCCGGACACTGCGACCGTCATAAATATGAGTCAGTTTGCCAAGTGTCTGGATTTTGATCACGTGACCATTGGGAGGCTGCAATGGTCGTAAGTGTGAAAAATGGACATAGGTCACTTTTTTCAGTGCCGTTGTAATTTTGAATGGTCGCTAAATGAATGGATGTAAATTGAGGATTATCTGTAAACATATAAGCATGCCGATAATCATCTGCTTGAATGATAAGATATAAGATCGTATCGATCCTTGATTGATGTTACAGTATAGTTAGGCCATGTGTAACGGACAGAAATTGTGATTTTAATATACATTTTGTCTGTTATTTATTATTTTATTCTAGAATTTTTAACTGGATATCCCTTGACTGTTTTTATTTGTTCTGGTTTCTGGTCTTTCACTGTAAGAAACTTGATTTGGTATAAGATATATGATAACCTTTATTGTCACTTTTTTTTTTATGAACACACTGGCACACGCTAAAAAAATTAAACTGATACTCGCTCTCAAAAGAAAATAAATATACAAGCACACACACACACATTCTATCTATCTATCTATCTATCTATCTATCTATCTATCTATCCATCCATCCATCCATCCATCCATCCACACACACACAATTAACCACAGTCCATTTTGAATACGTAGCAAAAAAAAAAAAAGAGTCTTGAGAGTTAACAAGATTTTCCCTGGTTCTTAACATTTATTAACGACAATAATCTGTTGACCTGATAGGGAATGTATTATTTCCCACTCACATTTTAAATGGAGGGTGAACACTGTCAATCCAATGAATGAAAACTCTTCTGGCGCCACTTTAATATATTTGTGTCGGTGCGTAATTCCGCCTGTATTTGTGCCAACTTGTTTTGCCCGCAGAATGATGACGTTGGTAATCCTACCTTGTTATTCCCTTTCTTCTGATAGCCAGAAGTACAGCTCGCTGAAGGTTTTGACGTTTTTATGCCTAAATCACAACTGGACTCTATCTTAGCAAATTACACTCGCTCAGGAAGTCTCCTCTTTCGAAAACTGGTGTGTGCGTTTTTTGACGACAAGACGTTGGCCAACTCTCTGCCGAATGGCAAAAGGAAAAGGGGGCTCAATGACAGCCGGAAAGGATTAGACCAAAATATTGTGGGTGCAATAAAAGGTATTTATATTTCCCTACTTTTATATACCCTTCCTTTTCAAAAGTCTTCTAAACACGGGGCGGTTTTGGGTCTGGGGACAAGACACAGGTAGTCATGTCAGCACAATTGAGCCCCATATTTTATAGCTAAGCGAGACAGCTGTTATGTGAGCTTTGCTCCATTTTATGACTTTTCTTGCCACCGTTGTTAAGCGCATCGCTGTGGTCATTAAGTTAGTAGCATGGTTGTTAAATGGATCTGGTTTCCCCATGGACTTGGCTGGTCAGAGGGTCTCCAAAGGGGATCATGTGATCCCTGGGGCGCTTCGACCATCATAAATACAAGCCTATTGCCATCATTTACAATCATGTATTTAGTGATCGTTCAAAGTTACGACGTCATGAAAAAAAAAGTGATTTAGGGCTATTTTTCAGACTTATGGCCATTGCAGCGTCCCCGTGGTCACGTGATCAAAATTCGGACACTTGGCAAATGGCATGGACTTATGACCAGGATCACCTGGTCATCTTTCTAACAAGCTAAAGGCAGTGAGGAAGCCAGATTCACTTAACAACCAAGCTATTAATTTAACAACTGTGGTGATTCACTTAACAACTGCAGCAAGGAAGGTCATAAACCATGGCAAAACTCACCTCACGAGCGTCTCGCTTAGCAGTGGAAACTTTGAGCTCAACTGTGGTCCTAAGTCAAAGACTACATACACACACACACACACACCATATATATCTCAAATATGTATCTGAATCAGTTTTCAGTCCCTTCCAGCTGCCAATCTCCCTCAAGTGGCACCAGTAGGCACCGTTCTGAGAAGAAGACTCCTTTTATTGACTTTGACGGTGCCACCCAAGCGATGGGGCCTGAGGAAGCCTTCTTGGCTTCAGCAGGGACTCCCCTAGACAGGAGTAGGAAACGATGCCGTGGTGGGACTCCGCTCTGCCTGGCTCCATTCACCCAAGTTGACTTCAGAAAGCTGTTCTTCAAGAGACTGTAGGCCCATTTATTTCTTCTGCTGGCTCCATCGGCCTTCGATCTCATTAAGAATCAGAAGGTCTTGTTCTCCACTTGGCATTATGAGAGGCCTTCCAGAAGATCTGGCCCCAAACTTTGCACTGCTCTTTCCCGCGAGCCCAGAGGGAGCAGGTTGTGTCCCATAAATCAGTTAGAGGGGCGGTGTAAAGACTTTTTTGGCGATATAGTTCTTTTTATTTCCAGTTTCCCTGTGGTGCATCTGGAGAGGAGCCTTGTTTTACTATTGGAGAGCTCATCAGCAAAGAGGATGCTAATAAGGCCATTAAAAGCATTGTGGTTGAGTGGAGTTTTTGACGTCAAACCTGGCCTGCCTTCCAAACTGATTTTTCCCCCCACATATTTTTATCCTCTGCTGTTTCTGTTAACCCTTCTTGTCTCTGTTCCTTGCCTCAAATACATCCTTAAGTCAGATCTCACCTTCAGAGGTCTGGTCTGGTCTAAAACTTATTTTCTAAGATGTCCTTAAAGTTCCCTCCAGATACAATTGTGAAATAATAGGGTTGCATATCTTTCCACACCTCCTCCTTCCAAAAATGGGGGGGGGACCTCAAACCTGGCTAAATCCACATGCGTGATGTGACTCCTGCCCAAACAACCTGAGTTGTGGTCCTCAAAGATCAAAAACAGGCTCATTCCTGCTCAGTCCAGTTCTTCTTAAACAACTATGTTAGATAGTTTGCTGTAGCTCATGTTTTCCTCTGTTTCTGAAATGCTCCTTAATTAAGGAAATGTATTGGCCTCTGACTTCCTAAAATGTTGAAACATACCCGTAAGCCAAAGAAAGGAATTGTTGGTTGGTGACATCATTCATCATTCTCTCTTTTTTTTTCTTTATTTTCTGATGTCTTTTCCAAGTGGATCCTTGGTGCTCTCTGAGCTTGGAGGTTTTCTTGCAGACATTTCATGACCCAACTAGGGAACATCATCCATACTAGAAGGGAGGGGGGGTTTGCAAAGTGGAAGAGAAGGAGAGGAGGACTGTGGGGTCCTTGACTTAGTGGCTTTCATGCAGATGTTTCATGACCCAGCTAGGTAACCTCATTAGCGAACCCCATTCCTTCTAGCACGGATGAAGTTACCTATTTGGGTCATAAAACGTCTGCAAGAAAATCACCAGGGGTGGAGGATTCATTCTCCGAGCTTGTGGGTTACTTTCTGAATGTTTTGTTACCAGGCTTGATAACATCTTCAGGGGAATTTAGGGAATGTCAACTTATAAGGACTTCGTGTGGTCAGTGGGTCTTGTGATGGGGAGGTCACATCAGGTGGGAGGGGTCACATCAGGTGAGGATCAGGTGTGGGTCGCATTTTTTGCTGTAAGCCGCCCAGAGTCCCTTGGGAGTTGGGCGGTATAGAAATGCGATAAATTAAATTAAATTAAATTAAATTAAATTAAATTAAATTAAATTAAATTAAATTAAATTAAAGTGAGGGTCTCATTTGAAGTGAGGGTCTCACTTGCTGCAACCCACACCTGACCCATGATAAGACCCTCACCTGATGTGACCTCCCCATCACAAGACCTTCACTTCTGACCCACACCTGACCCATGATAAGACCCATGACAAGACTCTCACTTGACACAGCCAAACCTGACCCATCACAAGAGCTACTGACCACACGAAGCCCTTATAAGCAAAACAACATCAACACTGACCTCCTCTCAACTCCCCTGAAGACGTTACGTAGTCTGGTAATGAAATGTTTGGAAACCAACCCACAAGCTCGGAGGTCGAACCTCCATCCACATTCTACCCCCTGAGCTACAGAAATTCACCCCCAACGCAAAACCCCCCAAGTGGTCAGAGAGCACCAAGGACCCCACAGTTCAACCCGGAGCTGCCGAGGGCCGAAGCCCACACCTCTTAAAAGTTTCTCTTCTTCTCCAAGTGAAAGTTCAAAACTTCTCCTGCCTCTGATGACTTCCTCTTCCTCCAGAGCTTCTTCTCAATTTACATGTCTGTAAAAACAGGATGTGAGAAGCGGTGGGGGGAGAGCAGAGTCGGAGGGCATCGCCTTAGAAGAGATGTTTTGTCTCTGTTTGCTGGGAATCATTGGAAGCAGTCCTTTGTATTTATATTTTATATTTTAGGAAATTTATGTTCGCACATGGCGACTCAAGGCGGCTTACAAGAATATAAAAACCTCGTATATAAAACAATAAAACTAATAACTGATTGATTTACAACAGTTCATTTAGTGACCGTTCGAAGTTACAATGGCACTGAAAAAAGGGACTGGTCATTTTATTTCATACTTATGACCATTGCAGCATCTCCATGGCCATGTGGTTTATATTTGGATGCTGAATAACTGACTCACATTTATAACGCTCGCAGTGTTCACACGATCCCCCTTTTGCGACCTTCTGATCAGCAAAGTCCACGGGGAAGCCAGATTCGCTTTACAACCGTGTGACTAACTTAACAACTGCAGTGATTCGCTTAACAGCTCTGGCAAGAAAAGTTGGTAAAACGGGGCCAAACTCACAACAAATGTCTCGCTGAGCAACAGCAATGTTGGGTTCAATTGTCGTAAGTCGAGGACTACCTGTCTTGTTCTGTTCTGCTTCCTCAATTTCGTTTTTGTTTGTTTGTTTCCCCCCGTTGCAGTGTTCACAGAAAAATACTGCACTGTAAACCACGTGGATAAACTTCCCGGCCCAAGGGACTGGGTCCAAATTCTGCAGGATCAAATCAAGCTGGCCAGAAGACGGTTGAAAAGAGGATCGGGTGAGTGAGAAGAAGCATGGAGGGAAGGAAGGAAGGAAGGAAGGAAGGAGGGAGGGAGGGAGGGAGGGAGGGAGGGAGGGAGGGAGGGAAGGAAGGAAGGAAGGAAGGAAGGAAGGGAGCAGAAAGGCAAGAAGAAGCCTGAGGAATTTTATCACTGTTGTGACCCAGGCCCAAGTAGTCAGTATTAAATACAAACAGTTCCAAAACAAACAGACTTTATGAGAACAGCTGAGAATTAACCCATTTTCAGCGTAGTCCAAACTAAATCAAAACAAACTCTTCATAACACAAATTCTTCAGTCTAATCACCAACCTTGGTATAATTAGGCAAACTGCCAAAGGCTTCTCTTGGCAAAAGTTCAGGAGCAGAAGACGCCGACAAGAGATACATGCAGCAAGACTATCAACGTTGTTTACCGACAAAGAGCCCAAGAGCCGTTGCTGGTCTTTTAAGCCCTAATGGGAGGGGCCAATCATCTCCTGGCCTTACTCCCGAGTTGTCCTCTCTGCTTTAGCTGCTCCTGCCTTCTGGCAGCTCTTCTCCTACGTGCACTAGGAACAGGCTCCTCCTGTTCCTCTGCCTCTCTGCTGTCAGCCTCTGGAGGCTCCGGAGTCAGCGCATCACATCCCAATGGCCCTGGCCCCATCTCTGCCTCTGACGCAGAGCCCTCATCCGGGCCTTCCCCAGCCTCCAGGACGGGCCCCTGTTCTACCTCAGCCTCATCGCTGTCCGACTCCGCTGCCAGCTCCACAGGCTGCGGGCGGACCACAACAATCGCAAAGTTTGAGGAAGGGGGAGTTTAGGTTCCTAAACATGGGTTATGCCTAGATGATCTCTGTCCTTCCTCATCTTCTTCCTTTCCTCCATACTCTCAGTCTGAAGTGAAGGCGGGAATCACCTGGATCCAGAAGTTCTCCTTTTGAGGATAATTCAGTGGTTTTCCGGGATTGCTTTCCATGGGCATGAATCTGAATTAACTTATGGGGTGGACTGAGAGAGCTGTCGTACTCTTCATGTACAGTCCCCTTTTTTCAATGCTGTGATAACCTTGGACGGTCACTAAACGACCTGTTGTAAACCGAGGACTATACAACAGTTCGTTTAGTCACCATTCGAAGTTACAACGGGGCTGAAAAAAGTGACTCATGATCATTTTTCACACTTAAGACCATTGCAGCATCCCTGTGATCACTTGATTTGCATTCGGAGGCTTGAAAACTGACTCACATTTATGACGGTCGCAGTGCCCTGGGGGTCACCTGATTCCCTTTTGTGACCTTCTGATGAACAAAGTCAACGGGGAAGCCGGATTCACTTAACAACCGGGTTACTAATTTAAGAACTGCAATGTTTCACTTAACAAACGTGGTGACAAAGGTTGTAAAATGGAGCAGAACTCACTTAAGAAATGTTTTGCTTAGCAACAGAAATTTTGGACTCCATTGTGGTCCATAAGTCAAGGACTACCTGTATTTTAAAAGTCTCAATATCCCAGCATCTGAACTGGTGGGGTCTTATGCAGTGCAAAAAGTGGCAGGCTACAGATTGGGGGTACCCTGACTAGTTTCTGTCTCATCCCTAACTCCAAAATTCTAGCAGATAATAATGAGGCTACGGAGCATTTAAGATTTTTTTTTTAATTTAAAAATGCATTCGGTGCCCTTTGAAGTTAATCCACCTCCAGGATTAATGTTCCCCAGGTAACATTTCAAAGCAAAATATACAAGTCCTCAAAAGAGCATCATTCGCATTTTTTAAAAAAAATATTTTTTCCCGTTCTTAAAAGAATAGGACACAAATGGAATTAAGTAATCCCTGCTACATTAACATTTCAAACAGTAGCAGCAGGAGGAAAGAGAATAAAAATGGTTTTTAAGCCCATCAAAAGACAGAATAACAGAGTTGGAAGGGACCTTGGAGGTCTTCTAGTCCAACCCCCTGCTCAGGCAGGAAACCCTACACCACTTCAGACAAATGGCTGTCCAGTCTCTTCTTAAAAACCTCCAATGTTGGGACATTCACAACTAAGAAGAGATGTGTATAATCACAAGTTCACAGGTTCTCTCTGCTTTTACCCAAAGAATGGGAACGACATCACAAAAGTTGTGTTGCAAATTCCATCCCTTCTCGGTACACAGGTAGTCCTCGACTTACAACAGTTCATTTAATGACCATTCGAAGTTACAATGGCATTGAAAAAGGTCCTAAAATGAGGCAAAGCTCACTTAACAGACATCACGTTTAACAGCAGAAATGTTGGGCTCCATTGTGGTCATAAGTCGAGGACTATCTGCACTTAAAAGACAAAATGTCGCAGATGAAGGAGTGATTTGGTCGAGATGCCAGCCGGCTCTGCCTCCGCTGGCACCTCCAGAAGCATTTTAAGAATGAGAAGACAGGTGAGGACACGTTTGGATCAATCCTTAGAGAAAGAGATTTTTGCAGCTGGGCCTTTGCGGTGAAGGTTTTAAATGGAAAATAATCTCAACTGGGCTGAATCGCTATAAAACCAGTGGGGCGATTTATCATTGTTTCCGTTTTAAAACTGCAAAGGCCAGGGCTGTAAGGCAGAACAAGCAGCAACAGATGGAAACTCATCCAGGAGAGAAGCAACCTGGAATTAAGAGGAAACTTCCTAACAGTGAGGACAATTAACCAGTGGAACAGCTTGCCACCAGAAGTTGTAAGTGCTCCATCACTGGAGGCTTTCAAAAAGATACTGGACAGCCATATCTGAAATGGTCTAGACTCTAGGGCAGTGTTTCTCAACCTTGGAAGCTTGAAGATGGGTGGACTTCAACTCCCAGAATCCGCAGTGCTGGCTGGGGGATTCTGGGAGTTGAAGTCCACCCATCTTCAAGCTTCCAAGGTTGAGAAACAGTGCTCTAGGGTCTCCTGCTTAAGCAGGGGGTTGGACTAGAAGGCCTCCAAGGTCCCTTCCAGCTCTGATTGACTGATTGACTTTTCTGATGGCCCTAGAAACACCCCTGCCCTGATTTTTTGCTTTTGAAAAAGTACTTTGACTTTTCAGTGTTTTGCGTCGTTTTGACAAGCGGTAGTTAGTTATGGTCTGCTTTGTACCTTTGTTTTCGAAGTTTGGCCTTTTTCCTAGAATTCATTACAGCAAAGAAAGGTTTGGCTGAGAAAAAAAATGTTATCAACAAAAGTGCACTGAAGTGGATTTTTGGAATGCCGCTTTAGGAATTTAAAGTCATATTTTCCACTTCGTATTCTTAATGCAGTGGTGGGTTTTTTAAAAAAAAATGTAATTAAAGTATTTTTATGTGGCTTGGCATTTTTCCTGCTCAGTTCAGTTATTGATTTACATCCGAAAAGGATTTCACCTATTAGTGTGTGTGTGCATTATGCAGCCGTAAAATCCTTTCCACTTTAAGGGACAAATTTAACTTTGGTTGAAGCAGCTCTGTTACCCAAATCCCCTTGAGCGGAAGTAATATAGGAGCAGTGTTAAAAAAAAAAAGAGGTCAGGTTGGCAAGTGCACAACTGAAGCTCTGCCTTCTTCATACATGCATGAGGCTTTTTAACTTCACTGGATGACACATTTGAAAAAAAAATACACAAAACTAAAGAAAGTACTAAAGTATTAAAACCAAAAACAACTGTGAAAAAGAAAAGGATTAATCATAATCAATAACCCCCAAAACAAAATTCTAAACAATCTAAGCTTATCACTTATATATCAAATGTTAAACAATATACAATATAACTGATGAGGTTACTTAGTTAGGTCATGAGATGTCTGCAAGAAAACAATCAAGCTCATAGGGCCCTACAGTCCTCCTCCTCCTCCCCCTCCTCTCAGCAAACCCCTCTCCCTTCCAGCACTGATGATATTACCTAGTTGGGTCATTAAATGTCTGCCAGAAAACAGTGATGTTCAGAGAGCACCAAGGACTCCAGTTTTTTTTCTCCTCCTCCTCCTCCTCTGTACAAACCCCACCCCTTTCTAGCACTGATGCTGTTACCTACTTGGGTCATGAAACATCTCAGGCAAACCACCAAGCTCAGAGAGCACTGAAGACCCCACAGTTCAAACCTGAGCTACAGAGGGTTGAAGTCAACTCATCTTATAGTTGCTGAGAAACACTTGAAGAGAACATCCATAATTCCCTGACCAGCTTGGTGAAGATGGTACCAGGGTGGTCTCTGAAAAAAAAAAGGGGGGGGAACCCTAGACAACAGTTCAGCCTGTTTTTAAACAAACATCCATGTTACGTTTCATTTCTTTTCTGCATTTACTCTCTTTTAAACTCCCAAGTAAAATAGTGGTAAAATAATTATATTTTCTTTGTTATCTGTCTTTAGCAGAAATGGCTGATGGTGATGAGAAACTGGACATTTCTCTTCTAGAGGCAGGTAAATGGCGCCGAGGTTTGTTTCCTTGTTTAATTTTGTTTAATGTGAGATATACTGTACCGCTAACTGCCGGAACTGCTTGGCAGCTTAGCAAGAAAAACAAATTTAATATCAAGAACACTTAAAATAAACAATGGAAAACAAGTAAGCCCAAAAGCCTGTTAGAAAATAAGTTATTCTGAAGAGTTTTTAAAAAGGAAATAAAGAGGGGAGGCGTTCCTTGGCCTGGCAGCAGAAAAACAAAGAAAGGTTGCTGCCAGATGAGCTCTCAACAGTCCCTTGAGATCATCTCCAGGAGCAGAGAGGTTCATGGAGAAAGAGGTCCTCTCTCTCAGACCACCTGCAGTTGAGCCACGGAGGGCTTCAGAGCTAATGACCAGTCCAAGAAACCAACTGGATCAGATTATGTGGCCTCTGGGTTTTTCTAAGAACAGACCCAACTGATTTATAGATTAGATGCTTGCCAAGAATATGCCTCATATCAATAAAGGAGAATATTAGTAGCTCAGGGTTGAAATGAGAGGTCTTTGGTGCTCTCTGAGCTTGGTGGTTTTCTTGAGGACGTTTCATGACCCAACTAGGGAACATCATCAGTGCTAGAAAGGAGTGGGTTCTACTGTAAATAAACAGAGCGCAAACCAGGGGTGAAATACAATTTTTTTTACTACCGGTTCTGTGGGCATGGCTTGGTGGGCGTGGCAGGGAAAAATACTGCAAAATCTCCATTCCCACCCCACTCCAGGGGAAGGATACGCAAAATCCCCATTCCCTCCCCACTCCTGGGGGAAGGATATTGCAAAATCTCCATTCTCACCCCACTCTGGGGCCAGCCAGAGGTGGTATTTGCCAGTTCTCCGAACTACTCAAAATTTCTGCTACCGGTTCTCCAGAACCTGTCAGAACCTGCTGGATTTCACCCCGGCGCAAACTCCACTTCCTTCTAGCAATGATGATGTTATTTACTTGGGTAATAAACATCCGCAAAAAAATCATCAAGCTCAGAGAGCACCAAGGATCCTATAGTCCTCCTCCTCGTCCTTCTCCCTTTCTGCAAACCCTACCTCCTTCTAGCCCTGATGATGTTACCTAGTTGGGTCATGAAACGTCTGCAAGAAAACCACCAAGCTCGGAGAGCACCAAGCAGCTCTTAACAGGCATCATAATTATAGTTGCTTAAAATGCTAATTTTCAACTTTTAACTCTTTTTCAGGTACCCTCCTTGAAGCCACGCCTTCTGCGCCAGTGTTTCATTAGCATATTCAAACCTTGGTTTGAGATGATGCCAGCAACCTTTCTAGATTACTTCACTATCTGTGCTTTCCTGTTTCACGATCTCCGATCAATTTTTTTCCCCCATGCTTTTCTAACGTGGATAATAATTAAGCGACAAATCACTTTTCCTTTGGATTTAATCAAGATAACTAGATTTGTTCGTAGAGAGGCTCTAGTGCAATTAGTCTGGTAACCAATGTGATAGGATGAATTTTGATTTTATGATGGCAGTTTCCCACATAAATATATGCGTGCTGGCTATTCTATTCTAATAGGAAAAAAGAGAGAGTCTCCTCTTAATCTTACAAAGAGCTCCTAACACCTCCATTTCATATAGAGTTTTTGGTGCAGAAGTCATGGGATCAAAAGTAAAACTTTAGGACATTGAATGAATCTTAATTTAACTAGTTTCTAAATTGAGTCTTTCCTTCCATCCCCACAAAGTTAATTTTTACTCGGATAAAATTATTATTTTTTTCAGAAGCAGAATTGTTGTCATTATATTTGACCATAAGGTATTAATTAATATTACTTGCGATGTCACATTTAATCCAGATCAAATACTCCTTGGATGCATATAGGAGTGATAAATAATGTATTTTATTCCCTCTTTGATGAACTAAGAACCATCAACTTTATGCACTCAGATTCCATTCTCCTTTGTTTTGCTAATTTATGGGGATTAGGAATTGTGAGAACCTTTTGGAGGATACAACTTTGGGAAGATTCTTTCCACCTGCACATATTTCCCCTCTTTATTCCATCCCTTCAGAGCTGATAAGATATTTGGGGGTCTACGCTAATATTTCTCTTTTCAAATAAAAGCCGGCAGGAGTATGGCTAGCAACTCTCCACTAATCTTCAATGCACTCCAATATCTCATGAACACCATCTGAATTTATTTGCATTTTTTGTTACTTCCATTATCTCCTACATTCTACATGAGAAGGTCTCCTCATACCTTAGATCAGAATGTCCAACCTTGGCTGTTTTAAGACCTGTGGACTTCAATTCCCAGAATTCCCCAGCCAGCCTTGCAAGGCTAGCTGGAGAATTCTGGGAGTTGAAGTCCACAGGTCTTAAAACAGCCAAGGTTGGACACCCGTTTTACGTGAAGGGTTAAATGCCACATACATGACAAATTCATTGATACCGTCGTAGACATCTCTAGCAGAGTCTAATGATGTGTTTAGGAATCCTCTTCTTCAGCTTGCTAAAAATAATCATTTCTGCAGTTCAGTAATGTTTTTTATAAATTTTTAAACGTAATGCAGTACAAACCAATTTACCACTGAAACGTGGCTGTCTTTGCTCGATAACTTGATAAACCTGGGCTAGTGTCTGTAAGGATCCCACATCCTCTTTTTGAGGCCGATGGGGTTTTCTTCCACAAATGAAATTTCTTGGTCTTTTCCATAAATCTACAAACAAAGCGTACGTATTGTAACCATTAACCCACAATCAGCAGTCTTACGAATCTTTAAAAACAATTGTACTTGTGTTGACTTTAACTGTGACTACTATTAAAACTTTTTTCTGGGCGTCTTTTTTTATAGGTTTTATTAGGAAAAAATTACCCATATTTAGGTAAAAGTCTCAATCTTATGTATATATGTTTTATTAATATGTACATATTTAGCTATTTTTTAAATTACTATGTTCTTAATAAAACGAACAAGGGACTAGTTGTGAAATGGTGCATTAAGATTGTGTCGTGTTATCAATCTCTGGGACTCTTTGTCAAGTTCAGCAAAATAATAATAATAAATTGGTCTAATTTAATCAGATTCATTATGCTTTTTTTCCACAGATTATTTTTTAAATTACTGTACGTGTTTCTAAACAACTATACCTCTGTCCGATTCCTTCATGTCAGTATCATATTGTTATTAATGTAAAAGGGTGATTAATTCATTGTTTTATCAGCCAGGAATTTCGCAATAAGGCTAAACTAGCTGCCCCAAAGGCAGGATTAAATTAGCAGCTGTGCTTTGCTTGTTTGTGGAAGGGATGGAATTTGCTGTTAATTTATAACATGGGAATGACTTGTCCATGTAACACAGTTTGGGGCGAACAAAAACAATTGTGGTTTTGTTTATTTAAATAATGGCACACTGTGATTGTGTGATACATAACAAAAGGCAAGATACAGGTAGTCCTCAATTTACAACAGTTCCTTTAGCGACCTTTCAAAGTTACAAGAACAGAGAAAAAAGTGACTTATGACCATTTTTCACACTTACGACCATTGCAGCATCCCCATGGTCACATGATCAAAATTCAGATGCTTAGCAACCGGTTCATATTTATGACACTGTTGCAGTGTCCCAGGTCCTGTGATCCCCTTTTGCGACTTTCTGACAAGCAAAGCCAATGGGGAAGCCAGATTCACTTAACGATCGTGTTACTAACTTAACAACTGCAGTGGCTCACTTAACAACTGTGCCAAGAAAGGTCGTAACATGGAGCAAAACTCACTTAACAGCAGAAAATTTGGGCTCAATTATGGTTGTAAGTCGGGGTTGTAAGAACTGTGGTGGTGCAGTGGTTGGAATGCAGGATTGCAGGCTAAACTCTGCCCACTGCCAGCAGTTCGATCCTGACCAAGGTCCAAGGTTGACTCAACCTTCCGTCCTTCCGAGGTCGGTAAAATGAGGAGCCAGATTGTTGTGCGCAATATACTGACTCTGTAACACTACGTAGAGAGGGCTGTAAAAGCAACGTGAAGCGGTATCTAAGTCTAAGGGTTATTGTTATTGCTGCCTGCATTGTAAATCGAGAGCAAAATCAGAAATACTTGGGAGAAGAACGCCTGAAGAGGAGGAAAACGTTTGACCGGGTTTCTGGGAAGCCAGCCAGCAGCCAGCAGCAGAGTTAATGGAGAGAGGATCTAGAGGATTATAAACAGGTTTGGCAGGCAGTGCGCCCCGAGCATCACAACGTGGCCATTACTGGACCAACCGGTTTGTAATGTCATCTGCTAATGCCAGCCACGACACCTCCTGCCTTAAAATTAGCCATTTTGCCAGACTGCCCTTATGCTGGGCTTCCCTTGGGAAAGCTTCAAGAGATAAGCAAGAAGAGTTATTTTCATCCAGAATGGGATAGAGAACAAGAAGCGTCTCATCTGAGAACATCAATAAGAATTCCGCCTTCTGACGTTTTGCATTCCCACCTGGATCAATTTTGCAAAACTCTCTGAGCCACAAGTACACAGTAGCTTCCTCCATAACTTCCCTTTCTCTTTTTAGAGACTCCTGCAGCCAAGAGACCAAAAACTCTTGGTGCTTTGCTTCCATCCGGGGACAACCCTGAATTTTGCAACCAGACCTGCTAAGTCTTAAGCCAATATCTATTTCCTTTGTCTTTATTTTCTGCCAGCGTTTCCTTGTTTTTCTTTTGGCTTGTCACTTTTGTGGATGCTTGGGAGACTTTATGCGTTTGCCACAATAGTACGAAATAAGGTGAGACAGAAGGGCAGCATTAAAACTCACAGGGAAAAACACAATGGCTGCTTTGTGTTCCAAAGTGGGGGAGGGGGGGTTTACCCAGCAAGCCCACTCCTCTATTGCTCAAGGTGTCCAGGTTTTTTGCGCAGTTAGTAACTCAGGATGGTGGGCATCCAACAGCTTTGTTCTATATAAATTAACCTCAGGAAATCAGTTACGGAAAACTAGTCTCCCTGCTCGGTCTGTAATCACAGCAAATAAGACAACCCAGAGGATTTATTTGGAGAATACCAATGTAAAGGATTTAGAATATATATATATATTGGCAGGATCCACAGGGGAGATTAACATAGCCAAATTGGTGGCCACAATTTATGAATTTACAAATTACTGGAAGAATAAAAAGTGATCTAAGGAAAAGAGGAGCATTAATCGGGATGACAGAATTTGAAGCACAGGTAATTCCTGATTTAATTACCGTTTGTTTCACAGCAGTTCAATAGCAACAGCATTTAGACTTATATACCGCTTCACAAAGCTTCACAGCCCTCTCTGAGCAGTTTACAGTCAGCCTATTGCCCCCAAGTACTGGTATCTGGATCCTCATTTTACCGACCTCGGAAGGATGGAAGGATGAGTCAACCTTGAGCCAGGCAGGATCGAACTGCTGACAGTGGGCAAGTCAGCCTGCAGTACCACATTCTAACACTGGGCCACCAAAGTTCAGAGGAAGGGAAAATAAGAAAGGGAAAAGGAAGGAAGGAAAAGAGAAAGAAAGGAAGGAAAATATTGCAATAGCAATTCTCTACCGCTTCACAGTACTTTTACAGCCCTCTCTAAGCGGTTTACAGAGTCAGCCTGGGACAATACTCACTTAACAAATGTCTCACTTAGCAATATAAATTTCGGGCTCAGTTGTGGTCATAAGTTAAGGACTACCTGTAGTGTCCTGATGCCATGTGATTCTATTCTATTCTATTCTATTCTATTCTATTCTATTCTATTCTATTCTATTCTATTCTATTCTATTCTATTCCATCCCATCCCACCCCACCCCACCCCCACCCCCACCCCACTCCATTCCACCCTACCCTACCCTACCCTACTATTCTACATTCTTCTGGAGTTTAGAAGTGTCACTTAGAAATTGGCATGAACAAAATCGTAAAGTATAAAGATATCCTAAACAAACATGGGGACTTAAAATCAAAACAGGAACTAAAAAATCAAGGAATCGATTTGGACTGGGGCTATATATCCAAATGCAAATGAGATACAAGAAAGATGCAGAAATATATGGATTCTATAAAGAACCCCTAGAAGTAGATCAGATATTTCTAGGGACAGATGATAAGCTAATAAAGAAAATATATAGCTACTTATTGAATTTTAAAATGGAAGAACGTGTAAAAGAAACCATGATAGAATGGGCCAAAAGTTTTGGATATACTGTAGAATTAGACAATTGGCAAAAACTTTGGGAAAGAAACTACAAACTAACGATGTCAACAACATATAAAGAAAAGCTTTACAAAATGTTCTACAGATGGCATTTGCCACCAGCAAGAATGGCAAAGATGTTCCAAAACACATCGCCAGCGTGCAGGAAATGTAAACAGATATCGGGTTCCTATTACCATATGTGATGGACCTGTCCAATGGCAAAAAAATATTGGTTAAAGATAAAAAGGTGGTTAGAAGAAATGACAACACAACAAATAGATTTAAAACCAGAATTGTTCTTGCTAGGTGTATTACCGGGAAAATATAATAAAAGAACTACATATTTAATATTACATGTGATAACGGTAGCGAGAATTATGTATGCACAAAATTGGAAAAATGGAAATATACCTTTAGATGAAAATGTAATAAAGAAAATATTAGACTGTGCCAGAATGGACAGGTTAACAATGAAAATTAAGGATAAAGAGGAAACAGAGTACTATTTAACTTGGGACTTATTTTATAAATGGTTAGAGAATAGAAGCAGAAGTTAGTAATTTATAATCAAGGACAATCAATAAAATAAAAGTAAATATATATAAACAATAATACCATAAGTAATATTATTACTGGATTATACTTGATTATAGATTAAATTGCAGGGTGATTAAAGGGGAAGATTACATTGTATGTATTATTTTCATATTATGAGAAAAATGGTTATAATTATAGTGTGTATAAAACTATGTGTATTTAAAAGAGATGTGATACATACAGTACACTGCTGTTGCAGAAATGAAAACGTTATGTAGAACAAAGGAAAATGCATAATAAAAACAATTAAAAAAAGAAAAGAAATTGGCACAAACGCAAGCAGATATTTGTGGGAGAGACATAGTTTCCCTTCCATTTCCCCACCCCTGGGTAAAAATAAATCTGATCATAGAAAGTTCTTCCCTGTCTGCAAATGAAAGAACAATTTTCTCTTCTCTAATAAAGTCCAACAGCTGCGGTGTCTCCAGCCTCCGCTGCAGCTCCTCCTGATGGCAAATGGCTCTTCAGCGAATGCCATCTTGTGGCACCTGACCTGTTATGCATTCATTTTACCTGTAATGGTCTCCTTTCGAATACTCCCAGGCAATTCTGGAAAGAAATGGAAACGAATTAGAAATGCCTACAGCAGATCCATTAGCATAAATCCAATCAAGAAGGCTTTGTTTAAGTTGTTCAGGAGGGTTTTAACTTTGCAGCCCTGTCAAGGGCTGTAAAAAAAAAAAAAGGGGGGGGGGGGAGGTTGCTTGCCTTGCTTAAGATTGGAAACAAAAATGCTTTTAGGTTTATGTAATTCTGTTATGGAAACAATAATAACAATGCTGAAAATAGGTAAACGGTGTAGAAAACATTGGAAAAATCATACCATAACAGAACAACATACAGATAACCCTCAACTTAGAAGGATTTCTGTTGCTAAGTGAGACATTTGTTAAGTGGGTTTTGCCTCATTTTAAAACCTTTGTTAAGTTGTTAAGTGAATCACTGCAGATGTTAAGTTAGTCACACAGTTGTTAAGTGAATCTGGCTTCCCTATTGACTTTGCCTGTCAGAAAGGTCGCCAAAGAGATTATGTGACTCCAGGACACGGCAACTGTCATAAATACCAGTCAGTTGCCAAGCGCCTGAATTTTGATCATGTGACCATGGGAATGCTGCAATGGCTGTAAGTGTGAAAAGCGTAAGTCATTTTTTTCAGTGCCGTTGTAACTCTGAAGGGTCACTAAATGAATTGTTGTTAAGTCAAGGCCTCTCTGTATTATATATAGGATATGGCTTGTAAGTGTTCTTCTTTTATTCTTCTTTCCAAAATGATTTAAAGGTTAATGAACTCTT